ATTAGTATTGTTACTAGAAACAGACCAAATCTTGGCACTACTTATGACGAAGTTTAAAACTATTAGTATTGTTCTAAAAATAGCCAAATACTTGGCACACTTATGACGAGTTTAAAACATTAGTATTGTTCTAGAAACAGCCAAATCTTGGCACACTTATGACGAGTTTAAAACATTAGTATTGTTCTAAAAATAGCCAAATCTTGGCACACTTATGAACAGTTTAAAATATTAGTATTGTTCTAGAAACAGCCAAATCTTGGCACACTTATGATGAGTTTAAAACATTAGTATTGTTCTAAAAATAGCCAAATCTTGGCACACTTATGACTAGTTTAAAATATTAGTATTGTTATTGAAACAGACAAATCTTAACATAACATGATGTTTAGGGACAATAAGAGAACTATTGATCCATCTCGGCTATCCAATCCTCTAAACTAAACTATTATAAGATTTAAAATATCTTAAAGCGATCTCTTATCATTCATATGCTTATCAAGTTTTCTCTTAAACTCACTTAAGTTTACTGCCTCCACAACATCAGAAGGCAACCCATTCTAAAGGCCATCCACCCTGTTAGAAAATAAAACTGTCTTAGCTGAAGATGACTCCTACCTTGCCAAAATGTATATTAGTATCCCCTAGTCCTACTATTCTCACTGTTAAGTATGAAAAAAGATGATGCATCAACACTATCAATTCCCTTTACAATCTTAAACACCTCAGTCAGATCTCTCGTAACTTTGTTTTCTTCAAGTTAAAGATATTTGAGAGATTTCAACCTCTCCATCCCAGGCATCATTCTGGTAACCCTCCTCTGAACCCTCTCCAACAATTCAATGTCTTTCTTAAGGTAAGGAGCCAAAGACTGAACACAATATTCCAAATGTGGCCTAACCAATGACCTGTACAATGAAATTATAATCTCTTTACACCTATATTCAATATTTCTGTAGATGCAACCTAAAATCCTATTTGACCTACCACTAGCAACATCACACTGCTTGGATAGCTTTAGAGACTGATCATCTATTACACCAAGATCCCCCTTCCTTCATAATACTGTTAAGGTTATTCCCATCCAAATTATGCTAATCCACATGCATTATCTTGCATTTATTATACTTAAAACTCATCTGCTATTTATTTACCCAACTCACTAAATGATCTAAATCCTTTTGTAAATCAGTAGCATCCTCTTCACAGCTAGCAACACCCAAGACCTTAATATGATCTACAAATTTAAGTAATTTATTGACCATTCCTTCATCTATGTCATTGCTGTAAATCAAAAAGTCCTAAGACTGAGCCCTGAAGTACCACACTTGTGACATTAATCCAGTTTTACTGAACTCCATTTGTAACAACCCTCTGCTTTCTTCTATCCAACTCCTATAGATATAATTTTTTACAAGCCTTTTATGTGGCACCTTGTCAAACGCTTTCCGAAAAATCTAGATACACCACATCTACACCCTTACCCTCATCTACATAAGCAGTAATCTTTTTAAATAATGTCAAAAGATTTGTAAGTCAAGATTTTCTCTTAGTGAAACAATGTTGACTATCCAATAAAATTTTAAACTTTGTTAGATGACTTTATAAAGCATCTTTTTTTATCAGACTTTCCCAAATATTTCCCACAACTGATGGGTCTGTAGTTACTGGGACAATTTTTATCACCTCCCTTGAAAAGAGGAGTTACATTAGCTAACTTCCAATCTTCTGGCAACTACCCACCATTCAAGGACTGACAAAAAAATAGTAGCAAGTGGATCACATATCCAATCTTTAGCCTCCTTGACACAGTTATGACTAGTTTAGAAATTAGTATTGTTATAGAAACAGCCAAATCTTGACCCACTTATGATTAGTTTAGAAATTAGTATTGTTATAGAAACAGCCAAATCTTGACCCACTTATGACTAGTTTAGAAATTAGTATTGTTATAGAAACAGTCAAATCTTGACACACTTATGACTAGTTTAGAAATTAGTATTGTTATAGAATCAGCCAAATCTTGACACACTTATGACTAGTTTAGAAATTAGTATTGTTATAGAATCAGCCAAATCTTGACACACTTATGACTAGTTTAGAAATTAGTATTGTTATAGAAACAGTCAAATCTTGACACACTTATGACTAGTTTAGAAATTAGTATTGTTATAGAATCAGCCAAATCTTGACACACTTATGACTAGTTTAGAAATTAGTATTGTTATAGAATCAGCCAAATCTTGACTCACTTATGACTAGTTTACAATACTAGTATTTCTTAGAAACAGCCAAATCTTGACTCACTTATGACTAGTTTACAATACTATTATTTATTAGAAACAGCCAAATCTTGACCCACTTATGACTAGTTTACAATACTAGTATTTATTAGAAACAGCCAAATCTTGACCCACTTATAACTAGTTTCGTACTAAGGGGTGTTGTAAAATAAATCATACTTTTTTCCACGAAGCGATGACGAACTTGGTAGGAACTCAAATATCATCACTAGTGAGAAAACGTCATTTCAACGTATTCTCCGGTGTTTGACTCTTCGAATTTTCCTTTTTTTGCGAAAACTTTTGAATCATGGTGCTCACTAAAACTCAGGTTAGTGTCTCAGGTGCTGCCTTCGTGATGGCTCAGAAACTAGACGCAGACACGCTCCGAGAATTCAAGTCTTCCAATCGATACATCGCAATGCCAGATTTGAAAAAAAATACGATTAATGACTCACAAGTTTCAGAATTGTTGAATTTGAAAGAGTGGTGGAACGTGAATTTGGGAACTCTCTAGACTTAAATCCCGCCGAAAATGTCGGAGCTTTCGTTCAACGATGCACAGAAGAAATGTTGGAAACTTTGTCTGAATGCGAGAGCCACAAACGTGAAACCTTGATTCGTGTTCTCACTGATGTGCTCACAGAGACAGCCACAAAATCAGACATGTTTGTTGCATTGCTGAAATCTTTTGCAAGTCGATTAAAACTCGTGCGTGAGAACAATGGTGGCCCAATCAAGAGATATTGATACTTGGAATTACTTTGCTGATTGAATTAAAATCTTTGATATGCTATCGGGGGAAAAAAAACTGTGATTTATTTGGCAACACCACTTAGAAGAAGCCAGACTTTATAATATCAACAGTTAGAGAAGTACAACAACAAGTTAATAGTTAATTAATATTGTACTATAAATAATCACAGCTGGCTATTCTTTATTCTAGTTAAAGCACTAGTCTCACACTAGACAGCCACAACTGGCTATTCTTCATTAATTTACATTAGTTTAAAGCACTAGTCACACACTAGATAGCCATAACTGTCTATTCTTCATTACTTTACATTAGTTTAAAGCACTAGTCACACACTAGATAGCCACAACTGACTATTCTTCATTAATTTAGATTAGTTTAAAGCACTAGTGTCACACAATAGATAGCCACAACTGGCTATTCTTCATAACGTAACGCTGGTTAAAAGCACTAGTGTCACACAATAAATAGCCACAACTGTCTATTCTTCATAAAGTAACGCTGGTTAAAGCACTAGTGTCACACAATAGATAGCCACAACTGGCTATTCTTCATAAAGTAACGCTGGTTAAAAGCACTAGAGTCACACACCAGATAGTCACAACTGGCTATTCTTCAGTATTTTACATTAGTTTAAAGCACTAGAGTCACCCATAGATAGCCACAACTGGCAATTGATCATTACTTTACATTAGTTTAAAGCACTAGAGTCACACACCAGATAGTCACAACTGGCTATTCTTCATAACGTAAAGCTGGTTAAAAGCACTAGAGTCACACACCAGATAGTCACAACTGGCTATTCTTCAGTATTTTACATTAGTTTAAAGCACTAGAGTCACACACCAGATAGTCACAACTGGCTATTCTTCATCACTTTACATTAGTTTAAAGCACTAGAGTCACACACCAGATAGCCACAACTGGCTATTCCTCATTACTTTACATTAGTTTAAAGCACTAGAGTCACCCATAGATAGCCACAACTGGCTATTCCTCATTACTTTACATTAGTTTAAAGCACTAGAGTCACACACTAGATAGCCACAACTGGCTATTCTTCATTACTTTACATTAGTTTAAAGCACTAGAGTCACCCATAGATAGCCACAACTGGCTATTCTTCATGACATAACATTGCTTTAATATGCCATCCTGGCACATATTACATCCATTACTCTGGTTATCCCCGGTTTAACACTATTTTTTTTTACCGTGCAAGTCTCGAGAGACTATAACAGTATAAACCAAGGCAGCTTTAGAACGGTAACATTCTGGAACGTCTGAAATGTCTTTTAACTCAAAGCTAAAACTTTGTTGTTTTTTTTCTGTCTACAACAATTTCTTTATATGAGAACCGATTATAATAAAGTGATAAGGGAAAATTTTATATGTACAACGGTGACTAATGGGGCATTATGGGATAGATTTAGCTCTTGTTGTGACGGTTACCAAAAAACACAACAGAATATGTTTCTAAGATTAGAGATTTTTTTTCTTCTCCCACCGAACAACCCTCCCCTTTTATATATATATATATTTATTTGGAGTTTGATTGGGTTTTGGAGCAGCTGCACGTACTGGAAAATATCTCGTTGAATTCCTTACGGAAGTTATCGTTCAACCATCCGTAGAGTAAGGGGTTCGAACAGGCTGAACTCATTCCGGCCATGTGACAACAGGCGAATACGATCCGGAAGACGGAATCGTCCTGGAAAGGATAGTAGAAGTCGGTTACAACGTTCAGGATGTTCAACGGGAGCCAGCTGATGCCGAAGATTAGGGCGATGGAAATAAGTAAGACGTTAGTTTTCTTCATTCGCTGTTTGTCACGCTGTTGCTTCGTTTCCAGCGTGGAGCTCCGGTTCACGATCCTCTGTCTCAACTTGCGGCAAATCCGAGCGTAAGCTATTGTAACAATCAAAATCGGCAGGGCGTACTGGAAAACCATGGAGAACACGGAGTAGACGAAGCGTCCATTCTTCATTGGCCAACGCTCCAAACAGTAGTCCACTGAATCCAGCCACGGCAACCCCACGTGGACGTGATCCACAGTGCGAAAGATGAAGAGAGGGGAGGACAAAAATAAGGCGATGACCCAGATGGAGGTCAGAGTTGAGACGGCATGGATAGGCGTACAGCTCTGTTGAGTCGGATATACAATGACCTTGTAGCGATCAAGGGCAATGGCCGTTATGCTAATGGTGGAAACAAAAATACTGGTGGCCTGCAGAGCGGCCACCAGTTTGCACGTGAGCAAGCCGAGCGGCCAGAACTTTAGAACTATCTCAATTAACGAGAATGGCATTGTAAAGAGACACAGAATAAGGTCAGATATAGCCAGGTTGATTATGAAGACGTTCCTGGCGCTCCTCATCTGCGGTTTTCTGGCCACTGCCATACAGACCAAACCGTTTCCCGTGGCCCCCGTGATGATTAGCACCACGTAGGCCACAAGAAGTCCAATAAGTGACGGATAGTCCACAGCTCGGTTACTGACAAACCGTTGAAGTTTCGCTATAAGTTGGATTTCACTAATATTATTGGTAGAGTTAGCGTCTGTTTCATACATGAAAAACGTAACGTTTTGTTCTTCTAACGTAAGGTTGATAAAGGCATCCATGACAAACAGGCTCAGTAGGGATCCCCCTATAATATTTCCTTCCTTTCGTTTTCTTCACACCCTGAAAAGTGAGATAATAAGAAAAATTGTTAATTTAAGTTCGATTCTTCGACAATGAGATGATTGATAAAAATGAGAAATACCAAAACCGATGAGCGAATAATAATACACAGTATAGATAAGGCTCTAGATCGGAAGGTCTAAGGTTAGACTCACGCTGAATACATTCAGCAATGAGGTGGTGGTGTTAGATGTGACAATCAGTTCCTCAAATATTGTTTGAGAGAAGATGATGTTATTTAAAAGCTTTGTTAGTGGACTGTGTCTGTCTAGGAAGTTTTGAACGACGTTTCGAAGTGCTAGTGCGGGCCTCCTTCAGTTTCTAGCGGCTCGAAAAGTCGTCCAAAGCTCTCCAGACAGACACAGTCCACTAAAAACGCCTTTCAAATAACATTATCTTCTCTCAAACAATATTTGAGGAACTGATTGTCACATCTAACACCACCACCTCATTGCTGAATGTATTCAGCGTGAGTCTAACCTTAGACCT